ACTCATTTGCCTATATGATTCTAGACCAGCTGAGTTTGCAGCATCTGATCCAGAAAAGGGACCTCAAGCTGAAAAAAATTGGGGTTGTTTTTATCCTTAATGGTATGGTTATCTTTGAGGTGGAGAGGGATGCAGTTCACTTTAAGCATTTTCCATTCTGTTAGAAAAGAGAAATATAATTATTGGATGGGCCTCTCTTGGTTTAATGTCATTAGACCTTTACTTATCTAATCTATTGCATTTTTGATAATCAGAGAACGGCATTCTGATTTCTATATTTGTCTGCTTATAAGGAAGAAATGTGCGCAGATTGTGTATTTTGGTTATTTCTGGTCTTTGCAAAAGTGAATTTTTGATGGCATACCCATGGTATGATTAGTATTACTTGGCTATAGTGAGAAATTTTGCTGATTATGCATATATATGCATATATGCACATAGAGGTGTTAAGAAATTATTACATATTAAGAAATTTGCAGAGTTGTCCTTAATTTCAATATCATATATATTTCATTAAGTATGAACCCATCTCTTAGGTCTGTTATATTTGAGACACTGGTTGCACCCAAGCATTTGCAGGGTAAAGCCAACAACACTAATGAATTTTAGATGACAGCACTATTACTTCTATATATATGTCCTTACAGATTTCTGTAATATACACAACAGAATTAAATCAACTGAAAGGCAATGAATTACTTTTATCTTATACTTTTGTTCAGAATCTAGGATGCTATGGTTGATGGGCTAACAAAATGTCACAAAATCTTCATCCTTCTTTGTATGTACCCCTTCTTCAATATGACTTTGTAGTGTCTTCCATTAGGAGATGGAGTCTGTTTTCCACACCTGAATGCTGTTGACTTTTTATATATTTTGGCAAAAAGAATGCTCTAGAATTGATAGTGTGTAATCCTAAGCTTAGAAATGAATAGGTCCTTCATGCTTCAACTCTCCCTCTTGGGATCCTTATTGCCATAGGACAGGCCCACCCTAGCTTGCTAGAGGTGCAGAAACCATACAGAAAAGGTCACTTTTTTAGTTCTGTGGCATTTCTCCATTGTAAGAACAGAAGTTGTTCTTTAAGTAAAAATCACTGTTCTTTGTCCCTCATGACATGATTCCTCTAGCATGTTGTGTACTTATAAAGCCTTTAAGTCCATACAGCATGGATATACTTTCACTATTTTTAGTAATACTGCTGAGTCATTCTTTTGCCTTATTTTAAACTTGCAAAATAGGCTTACTCCTTTTCCAATACACAGTCAAGAATACTGGTTAATTTTGATTTATCTAATCTGTAAGCAAATATTTACTTCCTGATTTTATGCAAAGCAACAACTTCTATGGAACGTGGAAACATAGAAACTAAGAATTTTAACTAACAGAGTGTCCATAAGTTTTTTCACAATTTAGCTTGAGGTTGAAGGTTGAAGAATCTGACTGGAGTTGTGATAATGACGCACTTGGGAAGGTGAAGTTGCTCATAAATTTTATTATACTAAGATCAAAATTAAGACATTTTGAACTGAAAATGTCTCACTACTGTAAATGTTATGTAAAGAAATAAAATCAAAAGCAATAAGATGACTACTCAGCTCCTGAGGAGTCTATGTTGATCAGAAATATGGCATCACATATCTGCTGTGATGATAGAATTAGGAATGGCTGAATTTTTCTATAGGCTGGTATTTCATACTACGATACAGCTCCCTAAAATATCTCCCATGAAGCTGGCTAATCCCACTATATTTGAATAGCATAGCTTGTTCTGCTTTGTACTTTGTTATTAACACTTTGGATTAGCCACAGGAACCTGTAGTGGAAATGCAGGAAGTAGAAAATGTAATTAAGGAACGCTAACCCTCAGTTTATTAAAAGGAAAAATGAACCACATATGCTACAAATTTTTGGGAAAACACAGATTATTTTGAATTCTAATTGTTACTGGACACCACTGTAAAAATAAAAATTAAAAAAAATAAAACAGCTTATGAAAATGAACTTGGTGCTGACGGACTGAAATTTGGTTTGAAAATCTCTTCCTCCCTCCCTCAAAAGTTATAAACTGAATGTTTTTGTAATGGCATTTTCACATCTTAAAAAACAAAACAAAACAGGAAAAGAATATTTGGTATAGTTTAAAGTAAAAAAAAAAAAAGATCTTACTTAAAAAAAAAAAACCACATAAACATTATAATGCTATTTTCTACAAATAAATTTGTCTGATTTAAACCAGTATGAAAGTGCCAGGCTCCAAAGGTAGCAAACAGAAATTTTTAAAATGTTTACACCAGGAAGTGTCACCAACAGCTGCTTTATATTCATACATCTTCCATCTAAATAAAGAGAAGAAAAGTCTTGTGTACATGTGCTGCCATTTTTAGCTCCCTTTTCCAACAACCATATGGATAACTTCATTAGAGAGCCTGAATGGGCATTTTATGAACCGCCCACTTGGTTAAACAGTAAGCATTAATGATAATTACAAGAATCTCAAAGGCTGTAAGATTAATATTGTGCATTTGAAGAGTCTAAAAGTTTAGAAGAGAAACACAAATTATGCTTTTTATTTTCTACAAAGGCAGAGTCAAACAAAAACCATACTCATTTTCTCTGGTGACAGGGCTTAATAATTTAGCGAGATTAATGTGATAAAGTCCTAGCTTCAGAAAAGAGAAAGAAATAACAGAAGCATATCAGAAGATGGAAGAAAAAGGTTGAAGACTAGGTAGGAAATTAGTTTGAATTAAAGTTTTAGCAGAGGTTTTTTTTTTCTGCTAAGTATTACCTTTTACACACTGCAAAGTGTAAAGAAATATTAGCATCTCTATAGAACCATCTTATAGAAAATCAATTAACACTTGTTTTTCTGCTTCAAGCCAGTATATTAGATCTCTACAGCCAGAGTAAACTTTGATGAAAAGATAAATACAATTAAAATAAAATTATGTATAACACATATGTATATATTTTAAGAATCTTTGATCTGACATGAAAAATATATATCTGCAGAGACTAATATAAAGGTAAAAGCAAAAACCCTAAGAGGTAAGTAATCTCCAAAGAAAACTTTTAATATAAGAACTTGTAGCAATTATTATAAAGCTTGATTTTCCCTTTTGACTGCTTCATGAGGAAGAGAGTGGAAAGCATAACTGAAGCACCTCTTTTCCATAAAATGAGAAGTGAACCCTATGGAGAGAGTGATTCTGAAAGGAAATTTTGTCTTTGGTGCTGGCTGGAGAGGAAAAAAAAGAGAATTCATAACGAGTTAGTCCTCTTCACAGGTCTGAAATGTAAAACCATGCTATTTGTTGGATTAAAAACTGAAAGCAGAGCATTTAGCTTAAACGTGGTCCTGACTTGATAGCCTCCTTGCTCCCTGCTGGGGATTGGTAAAAGCAAGTACTTTAAGAATGGAACTCTAGATCTAGCCTTAAAGAATTCCCATCGATAATATTCTACATGTGTGAGATCATACTCAAAAATAAAAACACATAATAAAATAGGATTTTATAACTGAATACAAGCAGAAACAAAACAGAGTACAATCAGAATCACAAAATTAGAGGTTTGGTTTGAACATTAGAAAAGGAAAGAAGGGACTTAAATCTGTAAAACATGCTAATGGAATTTATTGACACCAAAGTTATGAAAATTAAAAGAATAAAAAGAGATTAATTTAAAATGAATCACAAATGCAGATTATCGCAGTGAACTGGATATAGATTCAAAGAATGTTGCATTAAGAAACTATGAGATGATTTGAAAAACAATTAAGGGACATAAAGGATAGAGAAAAATAGAAAAGGCCCCTTTAAAGGAGATAATGATGGAGTAGTTTAAGAATTGCTGAAAAACATCTATTCTCGAATTCAGGAAGGCCAATAAATCTAAAGTGTGATATTAAAAAATTGAACTGGGGTGTCTGGGTGTCTCAGTTGGTTAAGTGACTAACTTCAGCTCAGGTCATGGCCTTGGAGTGGTGGTATCATGCCCTCGGCGTCCTGGTATCATGCCCTATGTTGGACCCCCCACTCAGTGGGGAGCTGTCCTTTTACCCCTTGCTCTGCTTATGCTTTCTCTCTTTATCTCTCTTTCTTTCTCTCAAATAAATAAATAAAATCTTAAAAAAAAAAAACTGTACCTAGACACATCATAACTAGCTTCAGACCACCAAAGATCAAGAGAAGATTTTAAAAGCAACTAAGGAAAAATAGCAAATTACATACACCAGTACAACAATAAAATCTTAAATGGTGATAGAAAAATTATTGACAATTTAGACTTACAGCCCGGGAATATTAATTTTCTAGAATGAGAGCAAAATGCAAATATTTTTAGACAAAAAGGAAAATAACCAGACTTTTGTTCACTAGAGGAAAATCCAAAGAACATACTTCAAGCAGAGAGATAAAGTGGAAGTTCTGATAAGAAGGGATGTTGAAAAATAAGTGATAAATATGTGAGTAAATAGGGCATAATATTAATTTATAATACAATAATTTCAACTTTTGAAATAATAGAGCCAAAATATGTAAAATGTTAACACAAAAATCTGGATGACTCATGAGAATTAAAATATTCTAATATACTTGTATTTTGGGTGGGAGTTAAAGATACTAACCTGCCTGTGTCTGCATGTGTGTATATACACACTCTGGAAGATACCTTAGTTTTATTAGTTATATTAGGATATTTTAATTTTGTTCTATGACCTGGATTTTCTTCAAGAATCAATATATTTCCAAGTTTAAATCAAAACATCAAGCTACATGCTTTGATAAACTCAGAAATTTCCAATAAACATAGGGTTTACTGTGAAAGTAGTATTATTGAAAAAACAGAAATTCCTTTAAATTAATGAGGAAATATCTTCAATTTAGGCATGAGTAGCTACCCCAAAATGATTTGACTTTATGAAATACCTTTGACAATATATGAACTATTTGTAGCTCCTCTGAATTCTACTGTGAATGACAGATACCCAATCTCACCTTAAGAAAGAAGCTGTCATAATCTGTCCTGTACAGAAAATGTTGATACACTGGAAAAAAGAAAGTCCAGTATTACTAATACAAGCCTCTATTTTATTATTAGTAAAAGTAAAATAAAAAGCATTATAGACAATTTGTTATTTCCCATGCAGTTTCATTATGATTCTTTATTAAGTTTTCCAAACTAACAGAAAATATACAAATGTTAACATTTCATATATGTATATCACAGACTATCCCTTTATATGAAGTAAAATTATTTAAAAGTTGTCAAATGTTTGAAGTATATATTATATAATATAAAGATATATACATTTATTTATCTTTTAACATTACCCTTGATAATTTTCATGGCAGTAAATAAATTGCTTATATTTTATAATATTCCATTTAAACACAGAATTTTTGCCCTTTGGAAGTAACTTCAGTCCATATTACTTAGTTTTCCTCCACCTAAAAAGTACATAGGCTAGTTTGTTACAAATGTCTATTACTGATTTTTCCATCATATATAAAGACTTAAACAACATTCAAGAGATTGTTTCTGCTACAAAATTATGAACTCATTGCCTGGAACACAGTTTCCTATAGCATATCTGCCATGCCATGTAACAAAGATATTCAGAAGAAAACTAGCTATAAGAAAATGAGTAACATGGATAGCATAGACATTTTACAATATTTGTTCTTCCAATCCATGAGCATGGAACATTTTTCCATTTCTTTGTGTCTTCCTCAATTTCTTTCATGAGTATTTTATAGTTTTCTGAGTATAGATTCTTTGCCTCTTTTGTTAGGTTTATTCCTAGGCATCTTATGGTTTTGGGTGCAATTGTAAATGGGATTGACTCCCATTTTTTTCAAAGAAATGGAACAAATAATCTTAAAATTTATATGGAACCAGAAAAGATCTCGAATAGCCAAAGGAATATTGAAAAAGAAAGCCAAAGTTGGTGGCATCACAATTCCGGACTTCAAGCTCTATTACAAAGCTGTCATCATCAAGACAGTATGGTACTGGCACAAAAACAGACACATAGATCAATGGAACAAAAAAGAGAGCCCAGAAATAGACCCTCAACTCTATGGTCAACTAATCTTTGACAAAGCAGGAAAGAATGCCCAATGGAAAAAAGACAGTCTCTTCAACAAATGGTGTTGGGGAAATTGGACAGCCACATGCAGAAAAGTGAAATTGGACCATTTCCTTACACCACACATGAAAATAAACTCCAAATGGATGAAGGACCTCAATGTGAGAAAGGAATCCATCAAAATCCTTAAGGAGAACAACAGACAGCAACTCCTCGACCTCAGCCGCAGCAACTTCTTCCTAGGAACAATGCCAAAGGCAAGGGAAGCAAGGGCAAAAATGAACTATTGGGACTTCATCAAGATCAAAAGCTTTTGTACAGCAAAGGAAACAGTTAACAAAACCAAAAGACAACTGACAGAATGGGAGAAGATATTTGCAAACAACATATCAGATAAAGGGCTAGTATCCAAAATCTATAAAGAGCTTATCAAACTCAACACCCAAAGAACAAATAATCCAATCAAGAAATGGGCAGAGGATATGAACAGACATTTCTGCAAAGAAGACATCCAGATGATCAACAGACACATTGAAAAGTGCTCCACATCACTTGGCATCAGGGAAATACAAATCAAAACCACAATGAGATACCACCTCACACCAGTCAGAATGGCTAAAATTAACAAGTCAGGAAATGACAGATGCTGGCGAGGATGAGGAGAAAGGGGAACCCTCCCACATTGTTGGTGGGGATGCAAGCTGGAGCAACCACTCTGGAAAACAGCATGGAGGTTCCTCAAAAAGTTGAAAATAGAGCTACCTTATGACCCAGCAATTGCACTACTGGGTATTTACGCTAAAGGTACAAACGTAGTGATCCAAAGGGGCACATGCACCCGAATGTTTACAGCAGCAATGTCCACAATAGCCAAACTATGGAAAGAACCTAGATGTCCATCAACAGATGAATGGATAAAGAAGAAGTGGTTTATCTATACAATGGAATACTATGCAGCCATCAAAAGAAATGAAATCTTGCCATTTGCAATGAGGTGGATGGAACTAGAGGGTATTATGCTTAGTGATATAAGTCAATCGGAGAAAGACAACTATCATATGATATCCCTGATATGAGGAAGTGGAGATGCAATAGCGGGGGGGATTGGGGGGGGTAGGAAAAGAATAAATGAAAGAAGATGGGATCGGGAGGGAGACAAACCAAAAGAGACTCTTAATGTCACAAAACAAACTGAGGGTGGCTGGGGGGAGGGGTGTAGGGAGAGGGTGGTGGGGTTATGGACATTGGGGAGGGTATGTGCTATGGTGAGTGCTGTGAAGTGTGTAAACCTGGCAATTCACAGACCTGTACCCCTGGGGCTAATAATACATTATATGTTTATTAAAAAAAAATGATAGGGTAACTGGGTGATGGGCATTAAGAAGGGCACATGATGTGATGAGCAACATGGTGTTATACACTAATGAATCATTGAACATTATATCAAAAACTAATGATGTACTATGTGTCAACTAATTGAATTTAAATTAAAAAATAATTTTAAAAAATGAGTAACATGGAGAAAAGACCCTAAAGATAATGTCTTTGAAGTCATGTGGGTATTCTTTGAGCAAAGATAGTTTGAGGAATAAATATGCTGTTATGTTGCTTTACTTTTCTTGACTATACTTAAAATACGTATTTATATTTAAAAAAATCAGCACTTCTCTGGGTTATTTAGGTATTTCCAAGGAGACAATATTATTGTTTTCTGGAGTTTGAAAATTCATATACTCTCAAAGCTCAAATTCCTTTGTCTCCTCTGATATCTCCATCAGCTTTTTTCACCTCTACTTAGACATACTTTGATCAGGTACTATGGTCAACAACAACCTCACCCTCACTGGTATTTCTGTATTTTTCCTCCATTTTTAATTCTGTAGCTTCCGAATACGGCAAGAATAGCTGCGATTGGAGATTGATCTTTTAAAATGGTAGTAGTCTTCTTGAGGCTTTTATTTCAAATAAACTCATTTCTCAATATGGAAGTATTATCACTTAATTGTTAGGGTTGGGCAGAAAGGAGGTAGTATTTAAAGAGGCCTCACTATCAGTTCCAAGAAATTTGGTCTGCAGAAGGCTATAAAAACAGTAAGTAAATTCTAGCAAGCATTTGGTCTTTGGTTACAGCAGGGCATTTAGACTATGGACTTCATGTTTTTTAAACTTATGGATGGAACACATTGATGAAGGGAGTCCAGATGCTAAAAGTGGTAATCAGATGATAAGGTGATCATGAATGAGTTTTATTGATTTTAGAATTTTATAATATCCTTCAAGACCAGGATGGCTGATAATGTTTTGGAATGAACTATGCCTTCTGACTCCCCTAGTGATATGACTTTTTAGTTCAAGATAGGTTTTAACAGATCTGATTTTTTTTTTTTTTTACAGTAAGTTGATGAATTTTCTGAAAGGCTGATTAACACTGGAAATTGCTGATTTATCCTTGTATGCATATCACTCACCAACTGGAAACTTAAACATACACAGAAAGCACAAGATCTGGGCTCATTAGTGGCTTTTAAAGATTATATTTGGTTGATAATTGCTTATCTATACTGAGGAAAAATATTATAAGGGTGTACTTGTACATGAAACAAAATATTCAATTAGGTGAAAGGTAATTAAGCAAAGAAAATTTTCTCTGATTGTATTAAGTCATACATTTTCTTTTTATAAATACTATTTTGACAAAAAATAAGATTATTAATATAAGAATTTATCCCTTTTGATATTTAACATACTAGATGGCATTTTCAGTGTAACATAAATTATTATATATATGATTTAGTTGTATTTACTTTCATTTGGGGGTGATTATCTTCTTTCTAAGGCACTATTATAAATAATAGCTAATTTTATATATTCCTGTTTTTTAATGTGATAAAATATTTTGAATCATGTTACAAATCATTATATTAGCACAGAAATTTCAAAGAATTAAAAAAATAGTTGATGGAATTATTATTTTCAACAATTTCCAATACTCAAACTTCAAATATTCAGATATTCAATATAGATATTTAAATCTATAATATGTAAATATACATTTATCAATATATAATATAATTATTTAGGTTGTCATAATAATAATAATAAATTTCTATTATCCTTAAATTTTATAAATGCAAAGTTTGTTTCTGTGTAAAGTGAAAACATATGTTGGAAATACTTCAAAGTAATGCTAATTGACTAAGCATTCTGCAAAGAGATAATAACCTTAAAAAAATCAGAAATTTGTAATGCCAATGGAGGGATTTTTCAGGATAACAAAATCTCAGCAGATGCAAAATATATGTACATTGACTGTATTCTGAAAAATACAAAGTCCTTTGTTAATGATATCTATTTGAATACACATTCAATGCATCCCTAATTTTTGGATAAATAAATTTCTTCAGTCACATAAATGTCAGGTATTACTATATTGTAGGTTAACTAATAATAATAAATATGTACTTTTGGTATCATTCTCAAGCAATTTTCTTCATGAGCACAGGAGCTCCTTCAAGAATCAAATCAACCAGGTGACATCATTCAGTGAAATTTACAGCAGATAAGGAACACAAAACATGAGAGAAAATGAAAGACAGAAAAATTACCTTTCTCAAAAATATCTATGCTCATCTGAATCTTAAATCATGTATTCTTTTCCCTTCATATCATTCTTGATGGGGTTCTTACAGAAAAAAGTAATAGGTTAAAGTGACTGAGCTTCACTGTCAAGAGAAACCTATGGTCAGGGATATATCGAATTCCCAAAGCTTTCATCATTAATATTATATGAGTCTTAATGATCTGTCCTATCTAGAAGAAAAATTTATCTTTCATTTGTGCAAGCACTGCCTGCCGAGTAATAGATTTCGTCCCTCTAACCCTCGAAGCCGGGTGGCAAAATGCGACAGGCAGCAAAGGCAGGAGGAAGCAAAGTGTTCCCTTGATTTCTTGTATTT